TTAAAATATATATATATATATATATATATATATATATATGTGAAATGTTAATTTAAGCAGGATATGTTAAAGTTCCAAATCGGGTGGAAGTTATAAAATGAGTGTAGTGGGTGCGATTTATTAAGAAATAAAAAGAATTACTGAATTATTCAACACTAAAGAAAAAGTATAGTTATAATATAATAAATAAAGGGTAAAAATGTTCTAAGAAAAGTGTACACAAAAGTACTGAATTATTTTTATATATTGTTATGAATTACTTTTATATATTGTTATAGTTGTTATTAGGAGATTAACTTTCTTTTTTTTTTTACACCAAGGTATCACTTTTTAGACACCCTATTTATGAAAAACACCCATGTGACACTTGCTCCAGGTTAAACAACAAAATGAATCAGTAATTTTTTATTTATTTTAATCAAATAAAAATAAAATATAATTTTTTAAGGGTGTAGGTGTGTAGGATGGATTTTTTTTCTTTTTTTGTGTTTAAAAAACATTTTTTAGTTTGTTATTGACAATCTGCATGGTATTGTCGATGATATTAACAAACATAAAATGTCACAAGGTGGAGTTGTTTACATATTTTCTTTTTCTTGGAAATGATGTGATGATTTTGTATTTGTACATTATTTATTTTTATTATTTTTATTATTATTATTTATTTTAGAAAAGATCCATAATAGACCTTATACGAAGTGAGAGTACGTGAATACAACACGATTGGAATATTCTGCAAAGATCAAACGTGCACTCATGATGATCATGTTTAATGACTTAGTTAACTAAACTGATTTATGGGAGTTTGTTTATGATTCATATTTAGAAGATATGGGCTTCCATAGTCTGCAAATTAATCTTTAGGAAGTAATACGATTGGTTGACTCGCATGTTTATTTGGTGAGAAAAGATTCTTCACATACTAATTAAAAAATTATTGGAAGAAAAAAAAAAGTTAAATAAAAAACCACAAGAAAGTTCAATGCAAAATTCTGTCGTGCACACCATTACATTATATACTTTCTAACAAAATTAGAAAATAAATAATTCAATTATTATCATCATAACATAATATAGTGTTTATTTATATTATTTCTAGTTCCCATAAATGACAACTTATTTTCCCTTGATGTATCATTATTATGTAACGTGAGGTAGGAAAGATTTTCCTTCCCCTACCATTTGACAGAAAAGGTTGGGAATCATTGTCATTGTATTTTATTCTGCCATCAATTAATTTGTTTTTCCATTTATGTTACAATCAATCACAGACAGCTGATCAATAATGTCCAATGCCATTCAGTAAATTAGAAACAAAACATGTATTGTTGTTTTCTGAAGTAGAAATTTTACCAAAATGTGAAAGCAAGCTTTTGCTTAATTAATTGCCACCAAACTATGGAACACCAACTGCCGCAAATCTTCAGTTGTGTAACATTAGCGTTTGTTTTAGGCAAGGGCAGTTTTCTTTAGGGGTGCAAGAACCTTAACCAATCCCAAAACTGAATTTCTAACATATATTCTAATTAGTTTGATGATTTACTCAATGCAACAAGCAAGTTCATATAATTAGCCATAAGAATGCAGCTGCTACTTAATGAAGTAAATATGGAGAATCAGAAACTGTGTATGCCCTCTAAACTCTATTTGCTACAACCATATATATATATAAAAGGCCTATGTGTTGCATTATACTAGAGTTAATTAAAAGGAGAAAGGGTATTCTTAATTAGTTTAGAATTGCAGATATGAGCTAGCTAGATACCTTGTATTGGCCATGCATGAGGTTGGTGTGATGCCTCACAATGAACTGAACCTGTAATGAGAACTGTGGATAGCTTCTCCTCTCCATAGCCAGCCATTTGCACCACTTCTTCTCTGCTTGCTAACTCCAACAAAGGGTTGTCCTCTCCTGCTACCAGAGATGCAAGCACCAAGATGAAAAGGAGCATCACAGGGGCGTAGCTCATCATCTTTGTGCTAATTTGTTTATCAACTTTGGCTAGCTTTACGTAAGATATGTTGAACCTCTCGAGAAATGAGACAACACAATATAATAGAAATGGGGTGATACTTCCTTTGCATTTATATAATCGCAGCTTCCCTTGTCCTCTCAAATTTAGCAAACTACAGTTCTGCCCTCGTATAGATTTGACGACTTTGCTGTTTCATTAATTAAATAATCAAATTAATAACCATACGTGGGAAGTAACAAATTTTCATTAGAAATATATTAAAGGGGCAACATGGGTATATTAAAGATGGGAAGTTAAATTGGGTAAGACAAAAGGTATGCGAGTAAGAGAAGGAAGATGCATGATGGAAGTTAATTAAGTTATATTAGGTTGGTGGCCTACTTTTATCGCCTACGTATGAAATTTTTTATTAATAAAATTAGTCATTTAAGAGGAGAGAAAGCTTTAAGCAGGGACACGTATAACACAATCTTGGTGGCGTAACTTTGAGCTTTAGCCTCTCTTCTCTGATATATATGTATGTTTGATGTCATTTTTCAAGCCTGTCCCAACTATATTATATATCTAAACATCTCTCTTCTCTTCACATCGCAGCAAAGCAACAATTCTTGTCTAGTTGTAGTCAGTCCCCAACCCCAACTTCCCTATCTCCCAAAGGAGAATGGAACTTTGATTTGAATTAAGTAAACCACTTCAATAAGAATACTGAACATCTCAACTGTGCCAAAACTCGTCAAACACCTCCTCTAGCCTATTAATAAAAACATTATCTGTGTACGTACGGGCTTTGCCTATCTAACCTTGTGAATTTCAACTCGAATACTCACATTCATTATTTCATTCAATTTTGAAAATTAAGTAATATGTGGTATTTTTTTCGATAGAAAATATTATAATGATAATAATAAGAAAACGTAAAATTTCATGTATATATATAGCTTAACCTTCGTCACTAGATCCCTTGTGGTTAGTAAAGTAGTATACGGAAATGCAAGTGATCAATGTTAATTATAAGCTCAAAATAGCTATTGTTAATTAGTGGAGTACCAAAGGATATAACCTATAAGATTTTAGTAATTCAAATTTAAAAATTAGAGCTGACAACACATGGGCTATTCGCCCCTGTGAGCTAATCCAATGCGAGTTACAAGTTACAATAGAGGGGCTAAAAAGGCTGGAACTTAATTCAACTTTCTAAATTAATATCTAAATTTGGCCTATGTGTGTTATGAACTTTTTATACCGGCCCAAAAAAAAATTATTTTGCCATTAGTTTTTATTTTATTTTTTTAAATTCAAGCGTAAAAATTATTGCAATAATTACGCTACTACATTTAACATTTTTAGCAACATTTATCTACTTATATTTATTAGAATGTTATTATAAATTAAGTTAATAGGTTATTACAACATTTTTAGTAAATATTATTATAGATGAAATAATATTTTTTATCTCAATATTATTTTTTATAATTGTTTTTTAAAATTGAGTCTCACTTCGAATAGAAAAATGATATGTAAAAAGTATATTTATTTTATCTCTAATTATTTTTCAAAGTTAAAGTTTCACATCAAGTTAAAGAATGACACATAAAATATATATATATAACTATAAAGTGAAATTTAAAATATGCAAACTTTGATATATTGTCTACATTTAGTGATGACTAACATATGATATCTTCTCTTGTTAAAAAAAAACTTCAAATTTGTTAAATCATTAAGGACTTGTAGATGTAAACAAGTGTCATAGAGTATAAGTGATAGTGCAATCTAATTATAATTTTATAAAGTTTGCAAAAACTCAGCAACATTATTAAAATGTTACAAAATATCACTTTGGTAACATTTTTTAAAATATTTTCATTAATATGTAAAATGTTGTTAAAAATTTTTAGTAACATAAATTTTATCTTATATTTGATAAAATGTAATAAAAGTGTATTAGTAACATTTACTCATAATTTAGCAACAATTTTCCAATGTTACTAAAAACATATTTTGTTGTAGTGTTATTTTAATGTAATAAATAAAAATGATTAATTTTTTTATTTAAAAAAATTGAAAATATAACAATTCAAATACGGAACTAGAGATGAAAATAGAATCATCTCTAATTAGAACATCACTAGTAACTTGGTTTGTGCATACATATTTATTATACATAATTAAAATTATATCTATATAAATACTATATTTAAATATATAAATTATATTTAAAATTAATATACATAAATATTTTAAATTTATGATATATAATTTGTATTATAAAAAAATTATTTTTTTAATGATAAATTATTTGAAAATATTAATATTTAATTCATAATAATTATGATAAATAAAACTAAATTAGAAAAGAGGTTAAAAAAATTTCTACAAACCCTCTCATTGAAGAAAATTCCCTAAAAACTCTCTTGTACAGTATAAAAATTTGTATTTAATATATAAGAGTTGATTAGAAAAGGCTAGTGAGGCTGAAATACTTCGTGTCTCTAAATTTTATTTAAAAATTTAAAATAAAATAAAAATTGAGGTTAAGTAATGAAGGTGGTTAAATATTAAAGGTTTCAATGATTAGAAGTGATTAACTTATTTGAGTAGTTACACATGTGATTAATTCTAATATTATTTTTATTATATAAAGATTTAAGGTTAAAATTGTCCAATAAAATGGAGACGAAAAGAGGTTATAAATCGGTGTATCTTCTTTAACAGTTATACACAGAAAAATATGAAAAAGTTGCGTATAATTATTCAAAGAAAATATAAGAAGTTTTTTTTTACATCAGCGTATAGTGGTCCACTAAAAAGTGAAGACCGAAAGCAGTTACATACTCTAAATATCATTTTTATAATAAGTATAGATATAAGTATAAATTTATTTAACAGACACAATTTAAGTATTGATTTTAAATGAGATTCAACAACATATATTGTATATTACTATAACCTATACCAACACATGTTAACAATTTTGAGAATATAATTGTTGGTAAGGTAGTTTTAGTATTAAATATTATGTTATTATAGAATATGTATCACTATAAAAACAACTTTTAATATCCTAAATTAATTTTTTTTACGATATAATTTTTTTATCCAAATATAGAAATATAGACTATTCAAAATGATGTTAATAATATTATGAAAATAATTAATTTAAAGTCTCTATGTAAAATGAATTTTAATTAATTGAATAATAAAATATATTTTAAATATAAAAAATTAAACATTCTCATAAATGTTTCTAAAAAGTGCTTTGTGCCTCTGTAAATTGTTTCAAAATTAAAATTCACATAAATTGTAAAAGGTATTTAAATTAAATATGAGTAATGAACTACAAATACAAGTAGTTTTGGATAATTTATTAGAAAGTGTAATAAAAACTACATTAAAAAAAATAAGTGCTTTGAAAGTTATAAGGATAAAATCATAAACATGAAATGGATACTAAAGTAGGGATGACAATGAAATGAGTTTGCGACAAGTTTTGCTCTCCTTATTCTCACACTCATAAAAGACATGATAAGTTCATATTTTAAAGAAGTCAATTTATATTTTTAAAATTCATCCTATTGTCAATGGTTAATTGAAAAACTCTTTAGCCCCACCCGCACTCATATCCTATTCTCTCTTTCTTCAAAGAAAAAAGGAAAGTTTTAATATTAGACAACACATTATCCGTGAATAGATATAAATTATATAAGCGAGTTTAATATTGTATTATAATTCAAAATCTTAGAAATATTATATAGGTAAGTCCTTCTCACTTATATATTACTCCACATATTTATTTTACACTTCAATCCCAAAAAAAGACATACAAAAATTTTTAAAAAGAAAAAATTTGATAACAATTAATTAGCAAGATAGAAAGAAAAAACTGATAACAATTAAAAAGATTATCCAAAAAGGTATATATATATATATATATATATATATATATAATATAAGTAGAAATAGTAGAAGTAATCCCTCCATTCATTTTTTTTTCATTCATTCAAGCATTCAGCTAATTGAAATCGTGAGATAAAGTTAAAAGTGTACCCAAGCATATGAGTAAGGGTGAGGAAAAATAAAATAATTGTAAAAAAGGTATATAATTTGAGGATAAAATGGTCGTAAGAATAATGGAGATCAAATAATGGTTATAAATTTTAATACCTTTTTTTATCTAATGTTATAAATTAGTGAAGTTAAGACATTCTATGTTTTATACTTTATTTAAAAAATAAAAATCAAAGTTAAGTAATGAATGTGATTAAAAAATTGAGGATGATGATTAGAGGTAATTGGTTTATTTGAATAGTTATACAGATGGTTATTTTTTAATATTATTTTTATTATTTAAAAATTTAAAATAAAATCATAAAAAATAAAATTAAAAAATAATTATAAATCGATGTATCCTTTGTATATATAGCAACAGATTACAAAGATATAAATCTACCTCAATTTCATTCCTCCGACCATTAGGCTTAATCGACCCTAGGGGAAGTTCTGTTTTCATTTATTAGCCCAAACAGATGTATCTCTCTATCCCTTTCATGCATATTGGGCCTACCAATACCCAAGTACTTATTTCTTCTCATTTTACTCTTTTCTTGGGCCCAAATTTGTGCTTCAATTTTATTTCATTTTTTTAAAGATGCAATTGTCCTATAAAAATTTAGAAATGACATCCATCAAAATTTAAATAAATAAACATGAAAAGATGATAATCCAAACAACACAGAAATAAAAAATAACTAATGAAAAAAAATTAAAAAATAAAAATATATAATACAAATAAAAAATAAAAAAATATATGAAGCAAAAGTCTTTTTTAGCCAAAATGCCCATGATTACCATTTTTAAACTTATACAAACAAAAATTAATAAAAAAAATTAAGCATTGTCAATGTTGACACACCTCGTACTTAAATGTTTAGGGTTTAAACAAGGTTATTTCTTATACATGAATACAAGGTGCTTAAGAAATGCTTAATAATTAAATTTATTCTCTTTTGTCTCACTTAAGCGTGAATACTCTCCTTATTTGAGTGATTATTTGCTAAAAAAACTCTTCTCTCAATCTCACTTAAGCAAATCCAAACTAAATATGTTTAATTGAGATTTGACTTTTAAACTCGATTTCTTCTTCTATAAAATCTAAATATAATTATAAAAACTATTATTCAACAAAATTTATTTATTTGTAAATTTTAATGAAAATTTACTTCAAATAAGGTTCAAAAACATATTAAAAAAATAGAATAGTTGTTGATATATTTTTTTTTAGAAAAACAAATCATATACAACAATAATTTTTTAGCTCGGGGGTTTCTTCAATTATTAAAAAAGGAAAAAAAAAAAAAAAAGTAACGCAGACTTACCCATCGCATATATAAAGCTTTTAAGGAAAAAAAAAGTGAATTTATCTTAAAAGGCCATACTTTTTTCTTATGAATAAATAAATGTCTAGCCCATTTTAAGATTGATTGGGATGACAAAAAAAAGAGCAGGTGTAATAAAAAAAATAGAAAAGGTATACAGATAAAGAAGTGTGAAATGTAAGATTGAATAAATGTATGTTTATAAAAAAAATATTAAAATTATGTGGATCTAGACCAGAAAATGCTAGTTAATTAAGCTTACACGTCACGAACCTATTTGGTACATCAACGGCCACAAACCATTCAGATGTCACAGAAGCAGAGGTCAACAGAATGAAACCAAAAATATCCCGAATAATATAAACATCAAGATAACTCAAGCCGTCTTGTTTAACCCACGCACTTATCCAACCAACCTTGTTAATTTTTCTCCCCTCTAAACACCTAACTACCCCTTTAATTAATTAAAATATCTATCGTTATTAAACTCAATTGCCACTAACAAATAAAAACAAATCCCTTGAAACTCACAATCTAATCTAATCTTAATCATCATTAATTCATTATAGTACACATCAGGATTATACAAATACCTTGCCACTTAAGGATTCCCTGGTTAATTAATTAATTCTGTTATCTTATGGTGGCTATCATCATAAATATAATAACAAGTGCGTGATCAACCAGTCTTATAAAAAAAATGGAATTCTGATATAATATGGAGTTAAAATTGAATGAATTTTTTTTTATAATCATGTTATTGTTATTGGTGAATAAAAAAAAATTACAATATAAAGAAATAGAACTAATATAGTATTTTAAAATTTTCACATAATTTAAGAGTTAAAATTAAGAAATAAAAGTAATTTAAGTCTTTTTTTTAATGTTAATATTTTAATCATAAGTTCAATTAAAATCATCACATTTAAGATATGATTCACTTAACATAATTAGGATCATCACATCTATGATATAAGCCACTTGACATAATTAGAATTATCACATTGAAGTATTAACTGTTTTGATAGATTTTGGATATATCAAAACTATATATCTTTCTCTCTTAATAAAACTCTGACCCAATATTTTATGTAAGAGATCGAATCTTCTACTATTGGAATGAGGACAGATTGCTAATGGAATTTTTTTATTTTGTTTTACTTGTATATTAATCTTACGTAACTAGAAGTAAGAATAGTGATGTGAAAGATATAAATAGACGTATAAGGTAGTGTTGTGAGGGTGAGTGATGAGTGATGGCTGAATCTGACAACGAATCAGGAGGTGGAAACAATGAATTGGGAGGGTGCAGAGAGCAGGACAGGCTCCTTCCCATAGCGAACGTGAGCAGGATCATGAAGAAGGTGTTACCAGGCAACGCCAAGATTTCGAAAGAAGCAAAAGAGACGATGCAAGAGTGTGTGTCAGAGTTCATCAGCTTCGTGACAGGGGAGGCATCAGACAAGTGCCAGAAAGAGAAGAGAAAGACAATCAACGGTGATGATCTTCTGTGGGCCATGACCTCACTCGGCTTTGAAGACTATGCTGAGCCCCTCAAGGCTTACCTCCACAAGTACAGGGAGATCGAAGGGGAAAAGACTGCTATGATTGGGAGGCATCAACATGCTACTACTGCTTTTTATGCAAACCCACTATAATAATCATCATGCCTCTTCTATACTTATTATATCTTTCATTTCACACTTCACACTCACACTACACCACTTTCTTCTTTCTTCTTTCTTCTTTCTTCTTTCTTCAGAATATTGCCAATTATTCATGTACATAAGGATTCAGGATCTTTATAGTATAGCTGATAATTGCTGCAAATATTTCCTCACTTTTTTCTACTTTTTCCATTTCTCCTAGTACTTGCTGCTTTGCCAAGTACTGATATGGTTTCCCAAATTGGCAACTAGATATAATCATAAATTTATGACTAAAGTTAATTTGTGCACGTATTTTAATTATATTTAGTAGTTTAAAATTAATTGTGTTAATAGTAAAGCATGCTCCTCTGGGTAGCTTGATTCGTAAAGCTCTAAGATTCGAGGGTATTGGTTTTCATGGTCAGTGTTACTCTCAGGACATGAAAAGCAGGGCCTATGTGGAACATATAAATTGACAGCACGTGTTGTTTGGCTAGATCACACATCAATCTTGTTTTGGTTTTGTTTTGACTGACCCTTTTCCTGCCTTGACTTGTTTACACGGCTATCATCAAAATGGACTTTTTCTTTTTTATAACTAAGACAAAATTCTATGAAAATGGACTCAATTTAAAACAAGACTAAATTGAACACAACCGTGGAAAATTCAAGCCTAAAGACATAAAAGGCATTACATTTTAACTCGCTCGCACAAAAAAGAAAGTAAAGTCATTAAACGATTACAACCTTAAAAAATTTAAAAATAAATAAAAACTTCATAAGAGAATTCTAGAGATCTTCTTCATTAATGATAAATATTTCATTCACATATTTTACGTACGTGAAGCATTTAGAATCACTTGAATAAGAGGTTATGTATATTTGGGAAAGAAGAGACGGAATAATTGTAGTTTCGTGTGTTGTGTGAAGTTTTGTATTTGCTTCACACGACTGAACTATTAAATTATGTTCTGTCGCCTCCACGTATGTGCATATCGTTCGTCTATATATGTGTAGGTGTAAAAAATTACAAGGAAAGAGAAAGAGACAGCGACGTTATGACTAAAATTCAACTGATTTGAAGTTCGAATATGAACCATTTTGTCTTATAGATCATATCGCTGAGTCATCTTGTCTTGCATATTAGTGAGTGCCTGAGTGGTCATTAATCAAGGGGACGAATGGCTCCACATGTTAAGAAGGCATTGTGGCTTTGTTTTCTTCTACACATGGCTAAAATGCATGTTTGGTTAAACTCTTTCAAAAATATGATTACTTAAAATAAAATAAAATAAAACCTTGGGCTTGTCGAATCAATGAAATATTATTAGCTTTGACCATTGCTAGAATCTGCAAGAGAAGGAGAGAAGGATATTTCCTTGTTCGTCAACAAACTCTTAAAACATCCTTAACGGAAACTGAATTTCATTATCACTGCAATTGCTTTTTAATTAAAAGACTTACTAATTCATGTTTAAGAAAACTTGTTTCTGGCTCAGTCTTCTACTTATATTTAACTCTTGTAAAATTACGATAATTATCTATTGTAGATATGCATTGAACCACTAAGATGGTAGGGATTGAAAGTTTTAAGATCGAATTTTATAGCTGTCGTTGTAATATTTTTTATTGATTAAAAAATAGTACATATGCATTGTTCACATAATAAATCAAATAATAATAATAATAACAACGAGTTGTTAAGATTGAATCCTTTCTATTTGTGTAAATCTTTGTTAATGCTTACAAAGAATTGCTCTTCTTCAGGCCTCCAGCATTCAAGTAAAGATAGCTCTTTCTGTCGGAGAAGTTTGACGTTGTAGATATAGGTGTAAATCCAGAATATTGTCCATCAAACTTTGCCATGTAAATATCATTGATACACTTCAAAAGCTCATATTTTTCCATAAATGGCTGGGCTGCGTATTCATCAAATGGCATCCACTGCAGCAGTGAATAATATTAACAATCTATATGTGCCTTTGGTTATAATGAATTTACATTTCCTCATTTATTTCCAAACTTGCATGGGTTAAAGAAAAGCAATCTCAGAAAAAGAAAGGTCCAAATGTGCAGAAATGAAAGGAATAAGAGAAATTATGGTATTATGATCCATAAACATTGAACATTTTATTAAACGGCAAACGGAGAATATACCATAATTACTGATTAGTTTCAATTAAATTATACGCACCTGTGCAGCCTCTATCTCTAACTCCTGTATTTGAATGTCAGAAGAAAGAGGGCGCAACAAGCACACGAAGAATAGATCCGACTTCTCAAAGAATGACATATGGCTTTGTCTGTAGATCAGATATTAAGATGAAAGAAGAAAAGAACTCCCAGTTATCTAAATTGTAAACTCAACAATAAGAACTAAATAAACAAAAATAAGTTCCTAAATTTTTCCAACAACTAACAATGAAATGTGCAATATATGCTACCTGAATGCTAATACTTCTACAAATTCTGAGTCAACCTGAAATTGATACAATCCAAAATCACGAGGTTTAGAAGCACAATGGTAAACTATTTACAGCTGATCGTATATATAGAATTTCATGATTAGCCCACATTCAATAGGTACCAGAGGGAGACTACTTACTCCTGTTTCTTCTTTGACCTCTCTCACTGCTGCTACACATATATCTTCTCCCTATAAAGGTGCAATGAGTAGATTATATACATGCAAAATAACTTCTTAAACTATAATATGAAAGATATTCAGCACATTTACCTGATCAACAACTCCGGTAGGGAATTTCCAGGCTCCAGTTCCTTGAAAATGTCCACTCTTTTCTTGAACCACTAGGACCTAAGATCATTTAATAATAAGGAAATAAGAAATTAAACTTCAAATTCCAATAGATTTGAACTCCGAATAACAATTTTCCGTTAAAGACACATTACTCGTTGTTCACTGAAATACTAATGATGAATCATACAGGAGCAGAGATGGATCTACAGCCACCCTCACACAAGCGGGAGTGAAGGGACAGAGAAGTTTGATTTGAGTTCAACTCACACATTAGGATATGAAGATATGATTTAACATAACCAACAAAGATAGAGTCTATCCATCAATGTTATTTCTATGAATAAATGAGATGCTAGGTGCTTCTTCCCTTTCACTCATAAATGATGCAAACAGAGTATTCTTCTCTAGAATAAGTGTCATATACAACTTCTATTTCATCCAAGTTCAACATTATCATTTTATCAAGATAAAGGAATGGTATATATAAAAATATTGGTGACAGCTCCCTCAACAACAAGGGAGTGCTTCCAAGTTCCATTTACCTAGAAGCCTGATCATGCGGTTGCACAATATTATGATTAGCAAAATACCTCTCGTTTCTCATTCACGACAAGTGCACCAACGCCCACTCGGTGTGTAGCATTTGCTGGAATAGTATTTGTGGATTCAGGAATCCAATACACAAGCATTAAATATTTTGGTTCTGCATGATGATACCAAAAGCCTTCCTACACAGAAGTGTGCCAAACGAAATAACGATTAACACACAAACTTGGTGCATAAGGATATAAGTTGAATTCATTTTTTCATCAACCACTAACCAGACCTCTTAAGAGTAAGTAGTAACCATTATTAACACAGTAAGAAAAGAGTCACCTTAACTAGAGCTTCAACTAGACTGACTAGATGAATAGGCAATTTTATCCAAACACCCTTCTTGCCCTACAAGAAAATGTTGAGTCAATAACTCAAATAAACAAAGATATCTAGATTCTAAGTAGAGGTAGTGAAAATAAACATCGTGCCAGAATAATAAATCAACATTATTATTCATATTGTGAACTATCCTTGTCATGATTTCGTTACCAATTAAGTTGCACATATATGACAGATATATTTCATTCTCTGAAAAATGAAGTCCATCTCAAACATAATTGATTTTAGGAAATTAAATAGTCAGGAAACTTGATTGCTTAAAGACAGAGTTAAACCACAAAGGTGGATATAAATTTTAAATGGAAAGTGTTCCTCTAGATTGCCCCATTGCTAGATTGATAGTTAGCAAAAATAATGATATTTTTGGGATAATTCAGATATTACCAAAAAATGAAATGAAAATACATAAAGTTATGCATAATCAATGACAGGTTAATAGCAAAGAAGAAACTAATCTTTTAATACTATATTTATGTGTGTATACAGTATACATCAATCAAGAAGAAACAGGATTACCATGAAAAGGGGAGCGGAAGGAATAATCACCAAGACTCATGAAAATCGCCAACCAAGAATCAGATTTGTTTGCTAAATTTTTTTTCTTTGACAGCATTAACACGAACAAAATACATATACTTGATATGGATATGCCACATTATCATGTGCCAAATCTAAAGTTTCACCAGTATTGCCCATCAATTTGATAAATTAAGGGGGACAGAAGTTGACTACAAACAATATGAGCAACGAAAGACAAGATGGTCAGTATTTATACAGTGCAATCGCCTAGAATTTTATTTGTGAGCTTGTTTTGTTGACCTTTGCAGACGGGGGCATATATAATACCTATCTATACAGGCAATGTTTAAAATGGAAAAAGCCTTGCACCTGGTTTACAATTGTATGAGTATATCTCTAACCAACAAATAAAATCAATCACGATGATATTATTTATGATAAAGAGGCCATATTAGACAGTACCAACTGTTTCCATTGAGAAATTGAAGCTCTGAGAATGGACACAAAGGTTGCAGAATCCATAGGCTTGTCCATTTCCACAATAACACCACCATGATCATCATCTGTGGATGTTAACAGTTCAATCTGTTGCACTTGATCTTCTGCAGTCATTTGTGCTTCAGTAAGGGATAGGGATGAACCTGTGGAGGCTGACATGAATGGAACAGGAACAACAGGGGTTGTCACTCTAATCTTAACTGCCAAGGAAGCATGAACATTACAACAGAACCCAAACCCATACAAAATACTAGTTCATCTTCAGTAATTTGAGACAAAATGGAAAAGAATCATTAGGCATCTCTTCACTACAAAAGGGGAACAGCACCAAGAGTAACCCAAGGGTAACAGTCAGTCCTCACAACTCATTTTCCTAACTGATTGGGAAACAGATATAAACAAATTTTCAGCTGTATTACTGTCACATTCACATAGAAGCATGAATTACTCGTTTCATCACAATCTTAGGAAAACCAAGGTGTTAAAAAGGGATAGTGACCACGATTTTAACCCCAACATCTAGGCTTTTGAAGTCCAGACCTCAATTGTGGCCATATTTGTTGGTAATTCCTAGCGAGATCAAAGATCTTGACAAAACCACAGCGGCCACTGCAATTTAAAACCTTGGAAAATACTTAAAACATGTTTCGAGCAATAAATTAAAATAATAAATTAAAAAAGAGGATATTTTTGTGCGTGAACTTGACAAGGGGATGTGACAAATAAAGTGATTGAACAGATGGTTGTGGTTCTGGTTCTAGACAGACACAAAACCGAAGGGTTAAAAAGATTGTTAACCGTAAAGTAGGACAAACTGTAAAACAAAAGTGCAGTTTGTGTCTCAACGTCATCAACATTCAACAAATACACTTAATATATGACAGAAAAATGAGATTGAGCAATGAAAATAAGGTTGTTTTGTTTGAGTACCTGCCTGCTGAATGGTGAGTGCTAGCGATGCCACGAGCACTATGTTATTGTCATAGTGCGTCTGAAATCTGAATGAATCCCACCAAACATTATTTAATTATTATGAATATATTTGACGATGGTATTGGTGGTTCATTATTATTATTATTGGCTAGATTCTTGAGTTGAGACTTGAGGTTGAGGCACCAAACCACGCAATTCCCCACTAGAAAGAGATGTGACGTAAGCATATGGATCACCTCATTTTCTTTGTCATAGCATGGACCCGTGCGATAAATATTAATTGTCAATAAATTAATTATTAAAATAAATAATTGCACGGTAAGTAAAAATTAATGAGACTTGCTAACTACTAATTTTTTTTTAAAATACATTCATGTGTAACGTCATAACTTATTCCTTTGATAACATACACTAACTTTTTTTTGAAAAAATATATTAACAAGTTATAACTATAGTATTTTTTTTAAAATGCATTGTGTAACTTACAAACTTCTTTCATTTAAAAAAAATAGGTGGATGTAATCTCATAATTAATATATTAATTATTAAATTTTTATATATAATTACAATAAATAAATCACATTTATTTTTTCTAAAACTGCCATTTGATATTATAAAATTATCATAGTTTTATGTAATTTAAATTATTATATGTCCTTGATTAAATTATTTTATTTATTCACTCGTTAACTTAAAAATATTTATCCCCTACAAATTTAGTTTTATGAAATAAATAATTATCTCAAGTACTAAAATAACAGCCTTAGGTTAAGTTAAAATATACAACTTTTATGTGGATGGTTGGGGAGAAAGGATAAACTACAAACAAGAGAACATAGGTTTAAACGTATGGCGTTTTTGTAATTTTCTTATGAAAAAAGTAATAATTTACAAAATTAATGGAAAGAAAAGATCGTATATTTTGCAGTTGAATATAAAGGCAGTTATATTCGGTGAAAAGTCAATTTGCGTGAGCCGTGACTAACACTGAATTTGAGTCTCGCTATTTCTTATCGCTGAACACAGTGTTCATGCTATTTTTCGTCTTAAATAAGGGACAAACTGCGTAATAAATATAGCCTTTTATTTTTAATTTAATTAATGTCTGTTTTGTCCTAATTATATATTATGCATTTCATGAAGAAGAATAAAGATGAAGAAAAGAGTTGTACTGTATTAATCAATTAACTGGAACCCCAAGTTTTGGTACATTATCTGCGCAGGTGTATTGTCTCTGTCCACATGCATATATACACGTTCCACGTACACCAATAGATTTTGCATATTCAACAGCAAAGTACAGCGTGTTGCTTGCAATACCCTTGCCACGAGCTAATTTCTCAACACACAAGTTTTCAATATGACCATATCTGCTTGATGGGGGCAGAAGGATCCACCACATCCTGCAGAAAATAAACTACTAGTTAAAATATTATGCATCAAACGATACAAAAAATGTGATGTAGTAAAAATTAACATACCCCAGGAAAGGACTCCCCTTGCAGCAAATATCGGGTATTCAAATCAAGGGTTCCTACAATACTTTCTACTAATGAGGGGTTTAGATTCCTCTGCTCCTTCCTCAACTGATCAGGCACCATATATAAGGGAAAGGATTCTTTGATGGTCAAATCATCTAGGAATGTTTTGGTAAGATTTTCATCAAGAAACACGCCGTTGTATTTGCACACAGTACACAAAGTAATTAGCAATAGCATCAACCCCTACCCCATTAGCAAATTTCATCTTGAGATAATCACCATATCTGGATAAAACATAACGAGAATTAGTGACATCCAATAAATAATGCACTAAATCTCGATCTACACTATCATTATGTTAAGAAAGAAAGCACTAAACTAATGGCATACCCTATATGATTATATGATAGATTTTCAAATTTACATTATTCTGCTCTTAGCAGCGCTGCAGCCTGCAACACAAAGAAATGCATGAATAGCATAATTAATACAAAACGTTAAAAGAAAAAAGAAAGAAAACAAGAAAGCAAGGTTACCAAATACTCTACGTCAAGAAGGGCTTCTCGTGCAATAAAATTGCCAAACTCAAATCCATTGCTTGGATCCCAAGTTTCCAAGCGGTCAACACCAAGATCACAGAAGACAGGTGGCGTTAACCTTGAAACTTGTTTCTTCTTCTTATTCAAAAAATCAGAATCCATGCTCCTAACACAAGTACGCAACACAAACAAGTTAAGTGAGATCATGCATTCAAGTTCAAGCAAGAAAACGGTTTCAAGAAGGACGAAAGTGAATAAATAGAAAGTTACATGGTGCAAGAAGCAGCAATTCTTGAGCATTTGTAACGGGATGGAGAGGTGTGGAAGAACAAACTCTGGAATTGTGGAAATGCAAGACATCATTCTTTTTTCTTTCTAGTGCTCTGAATGAACGTATTCTTCTTCTTGTTGCGTTTCTGCTTCTTCTTTCTCTGATTAATGGATCATATGAGTATGAGTATGACACAGCTTTATTTATAATATTTGTGAATTGTGATGTAATGATTAATACTGCAACTTATAAGTTATAAGCCCAATAGTTACTTTATTTGTCACATGCAGACAGCACACAATATTCTAATTTCATATATTTTAAAAAATTCTAATAAGATGTTAGATTTTGTATTTATATTTTTTATTTTTAAGAAAATTATTTTTTATTTTTTATTAATAATGCTTTAATTTCATAACGTTGTCTTAAGGTCAATAATTAAATGAAGTTGAATAGATGATATTACACGAAATATATCAATATTTACCATTATCAAAAAATGCGTCTTTCTTTTTCATTGTATTTAGCAGAAAATTTTATAGAGTGCCTATTATTTATACATTAAAAAAGAAATTTGTGGTTGGAATTGGTGGGTGACACACTGAATTTGGACTCAATTCTATACTTTGCCAAGAAAGCTGACCATTGCGAAATAAAATTGAAATGCTTATATGGCGATTTTAGTTCTATTGAAGATGATACTTGACAACAGTATCTTAATTTTAATACTATATACGAGGGGATCGAAATATTATTTTTCTCTACATCATATATATACTTTTTAAATTTTGATTTAAAAGATGTTCATATTTATTTATTGTTTTTTAATAAAAATGTATATATTAAGAGAAAATAATCTATGTATTATTAATATCTATATATGATTTATAAATTGTTAATTTTATACTAATCATTATAAAAGTACCACTTTTATGATTGAATTTGTATTAGAAATATAAATTCTAATATAATCTACCGTAAATTATAATTGTTACTAAATTTTGTCATTAATATTTAGTAGTGGTATCTGAAGGTATTTTTTTTAAGGAAATATGTTGGTTAAAGAAAGTAAGATTAATTAAGGTTTTTTTTCTTCAATTAATTATTTTAAATTTTAATTTTTAGTACTTATATTTTATCTTATTTTTAGTTCTTCGTTTACTTTTATCCATCAATATTATAGTCTCTAAAAGGAGTAATGTTTTCCTTTTGTCCATTTTTAGTTCACCATATTTAAAGTATCCAATTATTCAAGCATAATACAAGCTATCGAGACTTAAATTATTATTATTATTATTATTATTATTATTATTATTATTATTATTATTATTATTATTATTATTATTATTATAGTGTGACAATGTTTTCCTATTCAACATTAGTCCAATATATTTTTAAGTCTAAACCAAATTTTAAAATGAGATTACTCTTTAACAATTTGAAACAAGCTAATTTACCTAAAAAAATAATTTAGATTATGAATATTGCAAAAACTTTATATTGGAAGGGCCTAAATCATGAACCTAACAAAAATTATACAAATATTAATGTTAAATATTTTTTTTTGGATTCTAAAGTAAAGATTTTATTAACCCTGTGATCGGACCATTGATATGTCTATTTATTTAAGTTTTTGTTATTGTGAATTATTTATTTTGATTTTTTTATATTAGAAGTTGTACTTGAAAATGATTAATTGATTAGTCTAAAGTAATCAAATAAAATATAATCAACTAGATGTTGGCTTGAATAATACTAAATTAAGTCTTTTTTAAGTAAGTCTTGAGTATATGTGTTGTAAATGAAAAAAATGGAGTCGAGAGAAAAAAACATTACTAAAGTTCATTAATGAGTCGTAGATAAAAAATTATATTCAGAAGGAGAAATACATTAACAATAGTTAATTTGCTAGTATTATTCAATATTATCAACCTTAAAACACACTATACACATATGTTTCGATAATATTTCTTAACATTCCTAAAAAAGTGAAATAGCAATTTTTATTTGTGTGATAAGAAAAAGAATTTCATTAATGAAGTGAAACATGTCTTTTACATAAACCACCAAATTATAGTCAATGAGTTGTTCCTCTTATAATGAAATCCAACTTTTATAGATTAAAAAAAACACTGAATTATGACAATTTAACAAGTGATTTTAAATTTGAATTTTAAATTTTTTAATATTTATAATAATTTTACTTGACTCATACAAAATTGTTTCTCATAAAAAAAATGTCATTTCATTTATAAAAAAAAACATACAAAAAAAAAATCAAGATCACACTAATTACCTTGTACAAGCCAATAAATTAATACATGCATTAGAGAATGAAAGACAAATTCCACCTATGTTTGCTATGACCCATGATCGTGAGCATGGATTGATCAAATCTACCGAAGTGTAAAGATGGAAGGACTCTTGTTTGAACACCATACCCGAGCATTAATTTGCCACACCTGCTTAATTTTGTTACCCTTCAGTGATCCTTCAAGCTGCCAAAGTGCCAATAACGTGCTTTACTATACGGAGAAATTAAGACTTTGTTTGATTTGATATTAGAAACGTCTAAACATTCGTTCTAGCTTGTATCGGAAAGTGGAAAATCACCCTTACATTTAAAAAAAAAAAATAATTGTATATCCAAACGTAAGAATGTATTTGAAAATCAATTGAGTTCAACTCAACTGAAATTAAAAAAAAAAGTTATATTCATATGTTTTATTTTTTATATTAAAATGTATGTTTTTTTTTATTGAATGTGGTTCTAAATTGATATCTAAATACACATTAAATAGGAAAATTACTCTTCATATTCTAATTTTTAAATCATTTTG